TTGACCATGTATTCGGGGACACCTCAGGTAGTTGGAAATAACTTTTAGGCTTTATTTCATGAGATATTGAATATCCTTACAACACACAACATGTATTTTTTAACTAATACAAAACAAAGCAGTTTTTGTATGGAATTAAATGAAAATAATAATTCTGATGTCGGATTCTCTGTTAAAACTGGAACATTTATTAAAATTTTAGACGAAACAATGAAAAAAAAACTGTCGACCATTTAAAATTATGGATGTGCCTTTCATGTCATGTGTTAGATGTTCAGTGAATATAATAATAAATACATCTCGGTTTCATTGGGAACATTCTGAAAATCGAGCTTTTCCACAAATATGAGAAAGTACAAAATGATGTTCAGAAAAATGAAATTGCAAAATGATTCTCAGAAAATAAAGAATAATGATTTTAAGAAAATACAAATTGATTTTCAGAAAATTTAAGACCATTTTCAAAACTTGTCATTTTAATACGAGGATCCTACCTCACCCGCGGTAGACGTACATATGTCGCAAGGAAGCCTCAGTGTCCCCACTTTTTGCCCCGCGTCCTTCAAAAGGATCTTACGCAGTTATTGAACTTCAGGAAAACCCTCCATGTTACCTCAGAAGGTGCTCCATGATCCTCGAGTAGACCTTCCATATTAACTAGTTCTAGTACGATGTACAAGATTACAACAGAGGTTTCAAGATTTATGTCCCAAAATTAACGAGGGTTTTGAATGTCAATTTGCAGGTTTTTAATCTGATATTGCGGAAGTGTTATTAAAAAATGTACTGAAAGGGTAAATAAACTAAATAACATAAACTTCGAGGAGGATTCATCAAATGATCTATAAAAAACTCCTAGAGATGTCTAAAAAGTAAGGAAGACTGTTCCCATAGGTATTTCTAAGAAGGTGCTTAGCCAGGAAAAACGATTCTACTTGCATACTATGCAATTTTACTGAAAGTAAAAAACAGAATCAGATGCTACCACCTAAAACTGAATTTAAAATAAGGATAATAAGTGGTGTCGACCTCCACTGTTAAACGGAATTCCAGCCAATGTATACAATATTAGGGGTTTCCTCTTGGTGGATATCGAAAATCTCGTAAAAGAAGGAGAGATTCTCCGGGATCGGAAAAGTAAGTAATTACGAGTACTTATGAAATGGAATTGCATTTGCATTTTTGTCAAGCTTGGGTTACTAACTTTCGATTATTGCAGCTTATCGTTTTAGTAGCTGGGCAGGCAATATTGAAATTTGCTCCTAAATCAGCGCTTAACATTTAGGCTTACGATTTGGACCAAATCAAATAAAACAGTAAGATTTATGGTTCTGTAATTACATTTAAACACCTAGATACCTGGCTCCGTCGCCCCATCCAATGATACAAATGTTACCTTTAATGGACACTAAAATTTGTAGCGATCCCGAAACTGCAGAAGCTATAATTATATTTACACTTAACATAAAATTTGTTATAGTGGAAACGTTCCGGGATACTAATTACGGCAGCCATAATGCCAATTACTGGCAGTGCAGCCAAGATGTGCGCTCGTTACGATACAAATGCCATAAAAAAAACATTCGTTTGTACCTGATGTCGACGTGCGGTTAATGGTACATTATTTGTACAAGTGGTTTGCAATTCAAAGCTGATCGAGACAAATGAATATGCACGAGTATATGTAACAATTTCAATTGGTTAATTGCTTGCGAATATAGCAGGTGCCTTTCATTAAACCATATTTAGTTTACCGTTAATGAATAAAACACCGGCGTGATATACGATTTGGGCTTTTTTGTTGGACGTGGATTTTCCACTAATGGATTGAAACTTCGCTAGAATTTAAACGGTATTAAAACAGCGAAAACTTTTCAAATAAATGAGCGTTTTCATCGATTTAATGCGCGATTTAAGGCGATGCCTTCGGTTTACAAATTGTGTGGTGAAAACTGTGTACTTCGGTAAATTAATTTTGTTGTTATTTCGAATTAATACAATTAAATTTGGTCGCTTTGTGGTCGGGCGGGCTCTTTCGAAGATTACCTCAAAGCAACTTTGGTTGTTCCGGCATTTTGGAAGAGGAAAATGGTTCGCGCTACACTTACGCTTTCATCGATTTTATGCTAAACGCGAAGTTACAAATGTTTTATTCATTCTGTATTATAAACTTTTTTAACATATTGAATGTGTACCTAAATAAAGAAAGCCAAATTGGTAACACATTCAAAACCCATTCGATTTATACTTTATTAAGGTAATTCGTTTTTTATTTGTTTGTGAAAAAAATCCTAAAATTTTCAAGCTGAATCCGAATTTTTCGTGTACTGGTTTCTTGGGAGACTCATCTATTACAAAGTAGTACTATGAAGATAAAGTAACTGAGTAGTTTTATTTAAGATCAAATGACAACGCCCTTAGGGTGCGATGCAAATTATGCCAAAGTTCAATTTCATCGGGTAATTCTCTTTTCGTTTCACTTATTAGGGATCCCCTTTTTTGTGGTTTTTGCTTATTGCACAATTTTCCCTTTGCTTATCTGAAAATTACTATAAAATTATCCAACTCTTTTCCACCTCAACAGCAAAAAGAAGTACCTATATTAAATGGCCATATAAATGTATATTGATAGTAATTTTATTTCCAAATGTTTTCCACGTGCACCTCGACGTGCACTTTCCTTTAGTACAATGAATTTTTACAATACGTACACTTTTTGGTAGAACCTTTAACTTAATCTCAATTGAAAATGCCATTCCATTTTTTAATGAAAAATAAGCTAAACCCAAAAATTTAACACAATTTTTACATTGATACACAGCTTTTTTATTCAAATTTTTACAAGCAAATTTGGCAATCAAAGGACCCTAGAATTTGTCTGAATGAAATAATGAAATTACGGGATCTCTTGGACTTATCACTTACTGGTAAATGGAATTTCAACTTCTAAGAACGTAATTTGCGTACTCTCCGTTTAATAAACTTTGTTAGTACAATAAATTCTAATTCAGAAAATGGCATATTTGTTTTGGTCCAACAAATATGTGACTTGGCTTGTATATAATTGGAGAAACTCCTTAGTGAACACAGTTCCAAAAATGATTTCAAAGACGTCTCTCACAATGAGACCGATTGAAATAAGTTTATTGTTGGAACTGTCGACAGCTTTAGTTACCATTTTTCCATCCTTATGTACTAGGAAACATTTCTTAAAAATTCCTTCTGAAAAACATTTTTGTGTACTCTGAATGAGAATATGATGATGATGAATGAATATGATTTGTTTGGAAAACTAATTCAACTCCCTAAATGTTGATACTTTGTGAAATCTTTATGATATGCATTATGCAATGCTCAAATTTTTCTACTAGAAGCCCAAAGAAGCCTACAAAGGAATTTCGCAAGAACGCTAATTTAGAGCTACCATTAGGTACAATCCTTTTAGGTGGACATTTTTAAGGACTAATTAGAAATTTTCGAAATAACATTCAAAACTTTTGTAGTAACGCATCTTTACTAGAAAGCTTTGTAACCCGTTTAGGAATATTCTCACGAATCAGATTATAAACATAATGAGTAAAAATTAGGACACCCTATTTAGAATCACGTTAATTCAATTTCTGGTATAAAATTAAAACTATTTTATTTGAAATAACTCGTACGCATCCGGCATATCCTAAGGGAAATCCTAATATTAACTTAAAATTTCTCATTTTGAGAGACTCGGTGGCCTCGATCAACTTCCGAAAATTCCACTGAATTTATTACACAAATTTGAATAACCGCCTGAAATAAATCTTGGACACGAATTGAAAACTCTATTCTGGTCGCACAATGGATTCAAATAAACACCTAACCGATAATTGACAATGACAAAATTTATTCTGAAACACACGAAAAAATTAAATATAAATCCCTGAAATAAAGAAAGGCTTACAAAGGCTATTTGGACATATTACCCCGCATCTTTTCAATGTATTAATTTGCTACTCGATAAACGTGCGTCACGTGAAAATATTAGTGAAAGATCCAAAATGCAGAAACCAGATCCGCTCAAGATATTCACTTTTTTAATTCATCGAACTGTATTGATTCATCTTGGAATGCTGCTTTATGGAGAGTTTTCAACTAAAGCTTCATTGACAAAAACCATAATTAAAATCTTCTCACCAAGAACTTAAAAATAAAGGAATGCATTCCATTACCACATTGCTAATTGACGAAGTAATATGTACCTAAAACACGAACTCAACTAAAAAAAGCAGTGTAAAACCCAGGTCAACCATCATTTGTAAGGCACGTTACTGTAATAATGAATTTTTTGAACAATATTAAGTAATATTTCAACAAAAAGCATCCGAGCACGCACCTTTTTCTTTGTCAGCAGAACATCTAACAGGTCCGGGAAACGTTTCAAAGGAACATTAACATGTAAATTCTTCACATGTTTCCCTTTTTACATTTAATATTGCGCATAACACGTTGCCTTACGCTTGCATGGCGCAATTTCAATTACAGCAGCAGTTGTCTTATACATACATTTAATAATAAAGGAATCCAATTTAAATTGTAGTCTATGTACGTATTTATCTCGCCATTTTTAACCGCAAACGATGCAATATTATGCACGTGAGTCTATGAACAGACTGCGTAGTTTTAAGTTTAAATGAACATCCGCGCTAATTAAAAAACCTTGTTTTGTCTTATTTGTATAAACTCCATGTTGCTATGTACATTTTAATTAATTACTGTAAATAAACTGTATCATCCCTAACACTTTAATATACGTTTGTTGTAAAAAAATCAAAAAGTACCATACAGAAAGAGAGAAAGAGAAACCAACCGCGACGGTTTAGTCTATTGGTACCAGTGCAATTTTTCTTTTTGAGAGTATACAAAATGCTTTACACTTTAAATTTGTAGTACAAAAAAATCAATGATAAAGAAACAACATGTGCGTCCAGAGAAAGAAAAATGCTCATAAGATGTTTTCCTTTCAGGTACAGCAGGCGGCCGCTTACGTAGCCGGGCCCCATTATGCGCAACAAGTTCAGAACGTACAACTGCAGGGTCTGGCAAATCAGGCACAAGACATAGCGCAAAGAAGAGCTCACCTCACCGCTTTGAGATTGAGACAATTCCAGCCGCAACTTGCGCAGCAGCAAACGCAAGCTAAGCTCTTGGATAACCGACCTCAACCTCAGGAGGTTCAAGCTCAGCCACAAGCTCCGGAGGATTATGATGTAAGTAATTTCTGTACGCTGTACCAGTTTTAGGAATTTCAAGACCTAGCGCTATAACTTTTAGCGAACTCTTGTTTCTCTACAAATCATCTTCATACGTTATTCTCGATTCTACCCATGAACCAATGATTAGAAAAGATTAACCCTCGCAATATTCGCCCACAGGAATTTTATCATAATTATCACCATGTACTACCGAAAAGTAAAATCACTACTTCCAATTAGTTGGGGGCGCGAATTTACCCGTGGCGAAAGATGTCACTAATTAGCA